AGATATTTGACCAGGAACCCTTACAAAGTTCGAACATTACAAATCATTAACTTCAGTGGATTCTCGTCGGACATTAGTATTTTTAAAAAAACATTACATAACGTCACGGTGGAAAACTCGGCGTGTGTGGCTGGTAAATAACGAAAGACAAAGCTAGTTAACTCCCTGTTAAGTGAATTGTACCTACATCAATTCGTAATTACCTTGCTCATCGTGAACCCTCGATAAGATATTGAAGAAGTTTCAGACTAGAAGGAAGACTTTATATTGCTTATGAGTTTGTAAAATTTCTGTATATAAATCATTGTTTGTAATGACTATTTTTAATAACTGTTATTGTAACTCGTATTGTTGTGTGTATATTAAAACATATTTGTGTTAAAAAAACTGCGTGTATCAATCTTGTTCGCAAATATCATAAACTGACTATATATCGGCTTTTACTTACCTGCTAAATCCGAAGTACAATTTAACTACTAAATTTAAAGTATCATTTAACTCAATTTCAGACTTTTCGAAATTGTAAAGTAACATTTTGTCAAGTTATATTGATAGCATAAATATAACTAGTGAAACAGTAAATTTTAAATCATTGCATGATACTTAAATAAACGTCTTTTTCTGGACGATTTACATATAAATGGTCAGGAAATGTAGCTATCCAGTTCGACTATATACAGTTCTATATTTATACTAGAATATGTTATGAGTAGGTGTACATTGCTAAATAATACAGACAATATATCAAACACTAAGAGTGTACTAAATCATCTATACAATCAAGATCATTGATCAATATTGTTTTAAAACCTTACCTGCACCTCCAGTGTAACCTTTAACATGTAGACGATGGTAGAAGTCTTCTTTATCTATCCTAAATTACCGATAGAGGAAGAACCGTTTTTACTATGTATTGCGAAATAGACTTTGTCAACTCAGAAGTGACCTTTGTCATTCATGTCAATGCCTGTTGTATGTAGCGTTATGTCTGAATATATACATTCACTGTTTCAAAAACCTTATATTTGCTATTATAATTAGTGTCACACATTTAAGTACAATTCAAATTTCATTTTATTCCAAGCCGATTGACTTTTCTAAGTAACAACAGAAGTATAACAAAAATTGTACACTAACTTATATGAAAACTAAATTAATCCATACATATTTCAGGATATTATGCTATCAGATAAAAATCGTCCTAATTGTAAAATGGACGATATCGATATTTCTTTACGCTCTTAAATGATTACACCTTCAAGAAGTAAAGACTATGTATCGTTGGTAAAAGAGTAGGCCAAGATTTGGTGGGTGCTGATGACTTCCATCTAGTCTTTCAGTGCTAAATTAGAGACGGCTAACGCAGATAGCCCTCGTGTAAAGATTTAATTACATGAAAAGCAAATGATTTTCTGCTTTCTCATAGTTTTCTGAGTATCGATTTTGGAGATATTTACAGTTTTGTTTATTCACTATCAAGAACAATCTTACAATCTAATTTGTTTGAATGGTTCATAAATCTTATACATATTATAAATTTCAGTTTGGATAATCGTACTAACTTGATCAAGTAATTCATTGATATGATTATTTGTATTTAGAAATGCAACTTCTGCAAGTAATGGGCGACATTTTTAGTGCGGGACTGGAAACAGTGACGTCAACACTTGAATGGGCAATTCTATTCCTTGTAAGAAATCCTGATATTCAAAACCGTGTACAAGAAGAATTAGATGTCGTTGTAGGGCGCAACCGTTTACCTAGCTTAGCTGATCAAAGAGATCTTCCATACACAGAAGCTACAATTTTGGAAGTGTTAAGAAGAGCCAACGTTATCGCCCTAGGAAATGCTCATGCCACGCTTGAGTAAGAATCTAAAACTTGACTTCTATTTTCCCTCTTTCATGTGCAAAAATAACTATGATATCATGTTATACATTTTTTTTAACAAATCGAAATCTTATTAATAAGAAACTTAGAAAACTATTAATATACGCTGGAACTGTTTTTGAATATGATATGGTAATAACATTTCATATTTAGTATTTTGTAGCGAAATAGTGATTTAAGAGTTACATATTCTTTTTTTAGATGTCTATAACTACATTTGGTTTTAACGCAAGTTTAGTAACTTGATATTCTATAAACGTCTCTATCTGGTCAAAATAAATAACTTGATTTATTTTTCATATACAGAGATACAGAGCTTGCAGGTTACCATATTCCCAAAGACACTCATGTACTACCCAATCTGTGGGCCATCCATATGGACCCTGAACTCTGGCCCGAACCGGAAGTTTTTAAACCAGAAAGGTTCTTGTTGGACGGGAAAGTATCTAAACCAGACTTTTTTATGCCATTCTCCGTGGGTGAGTTTTATTTATGCTCCGTACATATTTTTCATAATGTAGAACTAATATTCAGTTTGTCGTGACAACACCATGATCTCAGTTTTTTACTACATTTACAGTTCTACAATGTTCTATACTTTAAAGTGTATCACCCGAGTCCGTTTTTTTTTGTCGAGATAACATCAGTATTTACAATTTCTCAATTGTTATTTGATACCAATGAGTTGTTAATGAGAATTATTTTTATCAGAACAACGAAAAAAAATCACTTTTCATGTTTTTTATTTTTGTACTCGACTTTATAGATTTTTTGGACCTCGGTGAAGGTCATTTTGTATACGTTGACCACATAAACAATTTTCTCTTCCAGCGATTTTAACTTTTTTTTCTTTTTTGGTATTTACCTATTGTTCTTATGTTTTGTAGCTTCAGTAAAAGTTACGTTAAAGGTGTAACACTTTTTATACTACCACATTCCGTCAAACTCTCCTCAAAATAAAATTTTTGGGGTACAGTTGTGTCATCAGTTTTTGCCCCCCCCCCCCCGATGGGACTGCAGTAAGTTTTCGAACTTGCAGCGCTAAAATCCGGGGTTCGGTGTGGCTTTGCTGTAAAAAAACACACGCACTTCGAAACTGAGCAACTCATATTTCAAACTAAACTAAAACTCTTTCATTATGTGTCTATCACTTTTAGTCAAAATTACTAAAACATTAAATTAAACATTTCCTTTTTCGCGAATTAGTTTGGAAATAAATGTATTCATTTAGTCAAATACCTGACGTTAGAACATGTCTAAAACATACAGTCTGTTTTCCACAAAATGAACTTTACATTATGGAAAAATAGACAAAACATATGTTATTTTTGAAAAGTAGATGAACACAAAGTTTTTGAACTTTAAGAATTAAATTAAAAATAAAACACATGACTTAATTAATGTGACGAACACTCTATTTCTAGGTAGGAGGATATGCCTTGGAGACGTTCTCACAAAGATGGAATTATTTCTGTTTTTAACTGGACTTTTGCATCAGTTCAACTTGAGAGTTCCCGAGGGGGAGGAGCTTCCCAGCACGGAAGGCGTGGTAGCCGTGTCGTTGACGCCTAAACCTTTCCAAGTTCGTGCTTTACAACGAAACAAAACCTTGTTAACAGTGTGAATTCATGCGATGGTGACTGTACTTCATATAAAACTTTACAATCACATTCATCATGTTGCGCGAGTCCGAAACTATTACATTACGAAGCTTGCTCTTAGTGGCTGTTAGGTAACTCGTAGCATGTTACGTCACTGTCTGGACGCACGCTGTCTCTCGTACCGTGCACCCCTGTAGAAACTCTTGAGATGAAATCACGAAATCTGTTTGTCTTTGCTAACAAAAATATAACACAGTGACGGATGTTCGTAGACGTGTATAATGGCTATTTCTTCTGATCGTGATGTAGTCCCCCGCTGGGTAAGTCTACAGATTTACAATGCTAAACTCAGAGGTTCGATTACCCTCGGTGGACACAGCAGATAGCCATATGTGTCTTTGTTAATAAAAAAAACAACCCTAATCGTGATAAAAACACTAACATTAGTTCTCATAGATTTTCTGTGAAAAATGAACAATAGCTTAAAACTTGAGTTCATAGATGCAAAAAAAGCAAACAAATTTGATTTTCTTCAATAAAAACAGTCGTGTCTTCGGACCACTTTAGTTGCTATGGTTCTGAGAGAAGCTTAAAAACTCAACTACTTAGTTGTAAAAACAAACCTAGATTAAAGCCACGGGTCATTCCTTCTCTCCGATTACTGCCGTCATCGAGAACAAGAAATGCAAATGATGATGAAATGTTATCGAGTGGCCGTTTGGCTAGAATGTAAAAATGACAAAAAACAAGCTGATAAATAATATCAACGGGTTCTCAAAATGGAACCGACATTAAAATACACGATCAAAGTTGTTCTTCGGATTCAAATCACAACAATTTAGACCTGGAAGCTACCACTGAAAATCAAAGAAAGGTGATAAGTATAAAATACAAGAAAATAGTTGCTTTAAAAGTACAAATATCTCTGTTGCAGAAAGAAAGAAGAATGGATCGAACTCTAAATGCAGTAGCCAAGGTACCAAAGTATTAAGTATCCAGTGAAGAAAGATGCGGAAACTGAGGTAAAAAAAGCCAACATCGTCCAGTTATCTAATACTTCCGTTTGATTAGTTATCTAAAACTAAGTAGTTTCATATGATATCACTCCGCAAATCAAAATAAAATCCTAGGCATGATGTCTCAAAATTCACGGTTTAAATTTTACAATATGAGGTGCATGAAGTCGATGGTTCTTTTGCGAAATTATTGTTTCAGCAATCTTTGTGACTGCACGTATTTGAAAACCATATAATATTTTCTAAAGTTTAAATATATGTTCGTGACCACCAACCTCTTCTTTCTTATTTAGAAAGTTTTTCTAGCGTGTGTGATTTACTTGGATCTTCTGACCAGCATAATGATCGGCAAAACTGAGATTATGTTACATTATATGTTGATTTTTGTTCGTGAAAACATTGTACTTAATCATGATATAGTGTTTTACTATTCAAAAATTGCCGCCATGAGCATTGGTCCATCGTTATACTTCATCCATGCAAGGTAGCCAGACAGTGACGTCATTTTCCATCAGCTTATCACAGCGAAAATACAGATTGAGTTAGCCTTGTAATATAATAGTATTGGCGGAAGTCAGTAGCATGCACTGAATAAAAGGAAATGCTACGTCATTTCTGCTATCAAGTCACTTTAGTAACAATTGTTTGTACAAACGGTATTGCCACGTGCATCAAATATAATGCATCATCAGTTTACATAACAAGTGACTTGTAAGAGTGAGCAGACAATACTTTTAAATTTTGTCCCTACTTTGAAAACGTTATCAGGAAAGCAACACTATTAGGAATAATGAACCTAGAAATGTGTTTATGAATGTTAATGATCCAGTTCGACATATTCTGATAATACAAAAGTTGTTACATTTAATAATATTTAATCCTAAATTCGTTCAATCTCGGATCATCTTCACTAAGTCGTTTATAAATCAATGTAATATTACAGACGGGAGATAATGAAGTATTGTGCCTGAAATAACGTTCAATTCGTTTCAATTTAACAAAAATCTAGTAATCTACAAACAAAGCTATTTTATTCCAAGACATAAATGCTGACTTATTAATCAATTTTATGACAATAAAAAATTGTTTCACTCTATTTTGTAGGAATTGACAAGACTTCTATATTAACAAATCGAACAAAGCACAAACTGTATGCACTACCTGTCTATAGTCCAATATAATAGTGATCTAAAAACATCGTTGTGTTTTTCATGATTTAGTTAGTTAAAGCAGTTTGTGATCAGTGTATCCATTATAAGTTTATGTGTTTGTTACTTTTTTCAAAAACTGTGCTATCATAAATGATATTTTGGTTTATGTTTGGACCTATTCTTGTCTAATACACGTTGTCTAAGATAGCCCTACAAAGAAAAGAGTCAAGTTATAAAAAAGGTTAACCATACCAAATTTAGTAACAAAAAGTTATGTTATATAAATGAAGGGTTTGGAATAGGTTGCCAACCTACTATTTATACCTCCCCCCTCGTCCATTTATAAAATAAAACCCGTTTCGTGCACATCAGATATTACTTACATGAAATACTTTGGTTGTATCTTGTTGCTGGCTGTTCAATGAGTCATTTCTTACTCAATCTTTGTTAACACCATTATCATATACTGATTAGTATTTCCTACCAAATTAGTTAAGGAAAAAAATTAATATTTCGTTTGATATACCGCATCCTTGCTTTGGATACTACATTTTCATTTAATTCAAAAATATCGGAAACATATCTAATTAATTAATAATTTATTCAGGATAGGTAAAGGTTTCCAGAGTTCAACTGTAGTGCATTAGACCAATATTCATTTGCATGAAGAATTTTTATAAATCACTCTTGATAAGTATTTCATTATTAGAGCTCAAACAATTACAATACTTTTTTTCCCTAATTAATAGGCTTAAAAATTGTGATAAAAATTACATTAACTGCTGATGGGATTTTTTCCACGTTTCTCTTAATTTGTCTCTTGTGGATTCAGAATGAGAGGACTGTAAAAATACCATTCAACTCTGTCTTTTATTTCCCACAAGTCACTGGCCAAAAGGCTTTACGTTCAATACCAGAACTCGCCAGTCGGTCTAAACGATGAGACACCAACCAAACACTGAGACAGTCATGGCTGGACATGTATTAAACATCTGGCGAAGCAGGAATCTGTGAAGAACAGTCGAGACTTGGGCATTCACCATCTTGCACAAGGCTGGTGGAGCATTCAAACTTCCAACAAGCAGCACAAGAATGGAGCTGGAAGTCATAAAGCAAGCTCTCATATGGATTACTGGAAGCAATATATTACAAATGAACATTCCCTGGAATAAAATATTTGCGACAGGCTCCCAGCCAGAACTGCGTAAAATGTAGAGTGATTGTTACCAGACGGATGGCAGAAAGCAAAGCAATTGTATGTACCAGGTCATGCAGGGGTAAAGCTGAACAAGGAAAGTGACAAGCCAGAAAAAAAGCTCCTCTGTTAAATCTGGCACAACTCTACTGCCACGATGTCGATCTCTTCTACACTAGTCATCATCAACATTCAGAGTGAAAGAAATAGTTGTAAACAAAGTACCATATATTCTAGCTAGGAGAAGCAGCGTAACAGCAGGCCTCCACATGAGGGGGTAGCACCAGATAGCACAGGTCATTGGGCTGTCACCTAGAAATCAACTAAACTCCACAACGACTAAATACACAATCTTATGTGAAAATTCACCTTCTTCCTAGCTCCATAGGGGAAAACCAACATTTTTTAAGTTAACTATATTTTATAAAAGTACATTGTTTTAGAACCAGACTCCTAACTGACTATGATGGTCATATTATAGATAAATGCTTTTCTGACTGTTCTTAATAAGATTTGTCCCCATTGAGTCAACAGTAATTTTTACGGAGTTACAACGATAAAATCTTGGGTTCGATTTCTTATAGTGGACAGAGCGCAGACAGCCTATTGTGTAGCTTTGCGCTTAAAAAACCTACAAAAAAACAAACATGTATATATTGATACATGACCTTCATAGAATGTAATGATTATTAACTTTGAGTTTCTCATCTCAACAGTTCTTTTTAGACAATATTGTGAATACAGCACGTTTGCACAATGCCTTTTTTTTCAGAATACGTAGTGTGGTCCAGAGTACCTTAGATATGTTGTGAATTAAATGGCTTATATCTGCAGATAAATTATAATGACGTTTTAGTTTTACATTTTTAACAAGTGGATTGTAAATGTAAGTATATATTTCACTTATCTGAAATACAGTTTTGGCCAAAATGTTTGCATATTTTGTAACAAATAAGATCAATATTATTAAGATGGAATACAAATACACTTAGTGCTGTCAAACTGAGAAATGAATGTTATATTAAACATCTACATGTGTAATTTGTATAATGAAACAGGTTCTATGGACATCATGAATGATATATTAGAACAACAAACAAACAAATTTATCAGACACCTGTAGAAAGACGTGTAATTCAGCATTTCACCTATCACAACAAACCTTGCCAAAACATATAATGACAAAATATAACATCAAGCTATTATAAATATCGTCTGTAACCTTATATCAGTCCGTATTAAACATTCAGTTCTTGGTTGGTCCCCTTCGTACTCTAATAACCTCCGTAAGGCGACGTGGCATGCTGTCGACGATGTTATTGATGTAATCCACCGTGATTTCATCTCCACTTATCATTAGAAGGCACTGCAACTCAGCTACAGTAACTGGTTTAGTGTCGTGGTTAGAAATTTTCTACTCAACAGTTCTGAATGGGATTACAACCTGAAGACTTTACTGGCCATGGCAATCTTGTAACGTCCTCCTTGTCGAGATCATTCTGTACAATACGCGCACTCTAGGTAGTGGAATTGTCATCCTAGGAAACAGAATTATTGCCAAACCTTGCCCTAGCATATGGCAAAAATATCGTCACCATGTGGTGCCTGTAGGAAGCGCCATTGACGTTTCCCTGGAAGATTTTAAGAGTAGTTTTTTTCTA